GAACGGCCACATGTACCCTGTAGGCGTTTTTTCAGTTCAAGCGGTCTTTACAGCATCGTGACTGAAGTTTGGAACTTGACCATGAGAAGTCTCACACTACAGCTATCGATTAGTATCGATGAATATTAGATAGTGCCCAAGTTCGACGTTCTATGAATCTTGGCATTGCTTCCCCAGTACTGAGCAGAAGTGTAGTACATATGTAGCCAGATGACTACCCATCCCACTTTTCAAACAGGATGATAAGGTGAATGTTCCAGTGGATAAGCCAAAGGAAACAATGTCTTGGGATGAGAAATACAACGGTAAAAGGAGAGCTACTACCAGACGTGATACGTTACAGGTAATACTGGCTATTGTGTTTCTAGAAGTTTGAATGCACTATTCATTTACAGCTGAGTAATCGTGTTCGCTATGTTCGACGTCTTCGTTTTCGCGTCTATTACTTCCTTGACCATCCGATGAGCGCAAATAGTACATGGTATCATTTTGGTGTGTTCTTTTCTACATTATGCGCACACGAAACTCCAAGTCCTATCGGCGTTTTTATTTCATCCAAACAGCCAAATAAATTCACGCGGTCGCCTTATCTATAGTACGGATGAGTCATAGGCAATGTCTAATTTTCATGCTGGTGTCAAGGTTGCCGGAATTGACATGTTCATGATGTTTTCGTCAATTTGCTAGACATTAATCCTGGTGGTCTCACCGATCACGGAACTGGACCGCCCGCTGTGCAAATTACTGCATCGAACTACGAAAATCGTAAATTATACGAGTCAGGATAAAATTCAGCCAAAATACCATACGTTCGCTCTCTCTAAGGATTTTTTAATCACTAAACACTCTGATGAATCCTGTTAGGTGGCCCCGTTTTAATGTAAAACTTGAGATGTTCTTCAGACTACTTTTGCTTTGTTGAACGTTTTGGGGTTCAGATCAAGTGTTCACACCCCTAGGGAGCGCAGTGTCTCATGTACTCTGTCTTTATAATAAGAATTCCAATGTCTATAGTATATCAAACTAGTAGTATTTGGAATGGGAAAGGAATGCTATGAATGGTAATTGCGTAAACCAAACACCTCTCCGACTCCTTGCTTTCCAAAGGTCTTATCCACTACTTGTTGATTACCCTGATTCACAGCAAACATGCACTGAGCTGATCATTTCTTTTCCAATAGAATATGAAATAATACGAAGTTGCCGGTTGTTCTCGCAAGCATCTAGGAGCCAGCTTGAGAAGTTCGTGATTGGGAGAGCTGCTTCTATACCCGTATCGTGGAAAACATCCTTGTAGTTGGGTTAGGTTACCTTCGAGACCCTAACTGAACAGCTTCTAACTCAAAATTTCAAATTGTCCCCACTGATTCCCCTAATATCTTTACAAAGCAGGGAAGAGAGTAGCATAGCGTGTCGATTAGAAACAGGAAATATAGAAACAAAAAATAATCTATTAGGTTGGAACGATTGAAATGTCGCTTCCGTTTGTGCCTTTGTTTCTCAACTTGAACACAATCTCTTAGGATGGGAGTCAGGGCGGGTAGATACTGAAGGTCCTATGATTATGTACAATGAGGACCATGAGATTCTATCAGTAGGTATTTCCTCTCTTTCTTCTCTTCTAACAAGGGAGGTCGTTCAAGGTGTGCCGAGCCTTTTCAAAGCGAGCGAATTTTGAAACGTCAACTCGAAATGCAAAAATTTGTCACCACGAGGAATCGAACTAGGGACCTTTTGGTATTCAGAGGGCCGTTCAGGAAAAATGAACCATGGTTCTGTGGTTCCCGCATGTGCCCCTATATCATGCAAAAACCGTTTTGAAAAAGCTTGGCACACCCTGAACGACCTCCCTTGTAAGATTGATGAAGGAGTGAGGAGGGTGTAAGTGAAAATCTACAACAGGAACTGGTGATTTGGGCCTTTTTTCGTTCAGTGCAGTCCCTCGTTTGTCTGTGTATTCGAATCTACATCCTTACAATACTAGAGCATGAAAAAATGCCCAACAGATTCATAAAAAAACGATGCACTATGTGCATCACACGACTATAGAGAGGCCGATCAGTGTGGTGCACAGGAGCAGCATGTGCAGTGGGTGAGAGATAGAAAAAAAGGTGCTGGTAACAACCACAAAAAAGGAGAAAATATCAAAATAATGTGTCAGCTTAGTGCTTCTTCAAATTGTGATTAGCCGTCTAAGTTGATTATGCCTTACACTCAAGCGGGCAGACATTTGTACCTAGTTGCAATGGGTAGCGTACGGCGTTTAGTTGTTATCTGGTGTGATACAACGCTTCGATGCATTGTTACTGTATGCGGTATATAGGAAACTAAACTGGGGCCGGGTGCGGCAACGCTCGGCCAGGAATGGTTCCTGCCCCGGCCGGAGAATCCCGCGAGGACAAACCAAGTTTGGGGAATCATCTCCTGCCGGGACAGAAACCCATCCCCGGCCGGAACTTGCGCCCTCCCCAACGAATTCCACCATCACTGCGCGCATACGCAGTTGATCGGTTCCACTTTCCGTTGTTGAATTGGTTGAAGGACTCGGATTGTACTACAATGAGAAACTAGACGTTTCGAAACATACCTCGAAAAAGGGTAAAAGGTAAGGGTTAGCCAACTTATTGTTAGAGGTCAAGGGCCCATTGCGTACATGTCACATTTCAAAGGACCATCCACAGCCCATAAGAAGGCATTGCGTAAAAACTTTATGTAGGATCCCTTGCAGAACGTAGCGCTACGGTATTCAATCCTTCGAAACGAACGTTTATGAACTTGAAAAGGTGCAGAATAATTTCACCCGTAATCATTCATCCCCGATGATTTCTCGTTCTCTAAAATAGGCAGCTATCAGGAACCAGCATCTGGGCTATTATCTCTGGGAATGAGACGCAGAGTTTTTAACCTACGTTTGGTTCATAAATCGGTACATGGCACATGCGATTCCGCTTATTCCTGTCTTCAAGTTGACATATTCAAAAACTAGGGAGAAGCCATGAAGATCTCGTCGACACGTCCTAGAAGTAGCGCGCGAGCGAAGAGCTGCACTTTTAGAGGCTGGCAGGGAGTATTTGAATCAGTGAAAAATGTACCTATCTTTCGATCGTTGCCGCAATTTAAACGCCGGGTGGTCAGGTTACTGCGAAAAATGACGGCTCTAAATGTTTTTGAAAACTGGCAAATTGTGCCATCGTAGCTATTGACGGAGGCTTCTCGGAAATTCTTGCATTCTTTCACAACATGAATATGTCAGTTGTAATGACTAGAGGCAAAGTAAGAAATTTCACGCATTTAGATTCAGTTTCCGAAGGGGCCTCAAAAAGTCCTATTGAAGGTACTACGACGACGAGAACAAGGATTGTTCTCGTCATCAACATTATATGGGTATGGCGGGAAATTGAATGTGCGATAGCTCTTCCGGTTTTTCGCGATGTTTCTAAAAGCCAACACTTTTTTGTTCTTTCCATTCTTATCGTAAATGATGGGTCTCAAGCCAGTGATTACGGATGAGGTCGAATCACGGTTTTTCCGCGGACGATTCCTTCAATCATATTGGTCGTGGTTCTGTTCTTGTTTGGGAACGCACACTGTGTTATTGTTGTTTCTTTTCGTGGAAACCTTCAGCTGACGTGATTTACTTGCACTGGAGGAGTACCGGCAAAGGAAAATGGAACCTTACATAAAATGAAAATTCGGCAAAGACAAGTGCCGCAAGCTACTGGAATGCAGTACATGTTCTCAGTGTTTCCAAGAAACGGTTTTTATTGAGCTGTATTTTAGGAGTTTTCGGAGTCGTTCTTATCGCAGTGATTCTTGGTGCCACTACCACATGGGAGGACCCTCTCATTCGAGGTCGGGTTCCGAACATATCTGAAATGTTGAGCTCCCAGTGTTTGCATTGCAGAAGTGCATTTCTATATGGAAGTGACGTTAGCGGTATTTTTTATCTGCGAATTTTGTGTTCGAATGTGGTGCATCTCAGCGGACGCAAAGTACTGCGGGATCAAAGGTGAGATGAGGCATATGTAAATATTTGTTCTGTCATATATAGATGGGCTTTAATAGTAACACCTTTTTCCAGATGCGAGTCTTTTACATAATGCCTGGGCTGGTATCCAAAAGTTTTGTTTGTTCTTTACTAAAGTTTGGTATCTCCACCGAAACCCGATGGTTAACCCATTACGACAATGCGGATTTGAACGTGGTGGGCTCGAACCACGCGGCTTCTTTTTCGCGCGGCTCTACTCGTTGCTGTATTGCCTCAAGCAGTTGTTTCCTAAAAGCCAATTTTTGAATCGAATGCTTAGGATTAACTATATCGGATAGGATCAATACTATTGAAAATAGCAGAAGGATCGGGCAAAGGGATTTGAACGGCCAAACCTTGAAAAGTTACAGCGTCCAATAAATGTGTTCATGAAGTCAACACCTCCGATTGGTTAAAAAACTGTGAAAATACGATAAAATAAAATAGCCTTATAATGAAAAACACCATTTAATATGCCAAGAGCTAAATGCCACATTCAAAGACTCCCTATAAAGTCGCTTTCATGGAACTTTTCTGCAAACTATGCTAAAATTAGATATTACGAAGCTTGATTGTAGTCCTAAGATGTTGGGTATATTTTAAATGAAGAAAAATTTTAAGGTGGGACCCATCACTGGATGCCATTGCCACGCCCAACAGAGTGGCACCCACCGTTGGGTACCATTGTCGCAAAGAAATTGACCACTATCCTGTCAAATCTAGACTTAAAAGGTTAATCGCCAAGGCGCTGATAAGTAGATAGAGCAATCGGGAAAACTCGTGAATCAAGTAGTGATTTTGTCACCTTTCCCGGATAATTTTTTTTGCATAATGTTGTCGTTCTCCCCGACTGGACAGCTTAAGATAAAGAGCTAAAATTCGAGCTCATTAACAACGAACAACAAAAGTTAAAGTTTGTCGAGTAAAAGCTCTCGAATTACATTTGTCGTAATGTAATCGTAGTTCTAGAGGAAAAATTAGACTCTGAGAAGCTCCTCGCCTAGGGGTCAGTATATGAACGAATTCTGAGGAACACAACGCGGCTTTTCGATGAACCCAATTCTAGGGCTCAAAAGATCGAGGCTAAGTGCAGGGCAAATTGCTTGATTTCTTGTTAAATAAAAATGTTTGTTGCGTGTTCTGCTAGTTTTCACATCAGTTTTTCCATTTAGCAAGTCTTAAATTCAGCAAGTTCACAATAAATGGAGAAAGAAAGAGAAAGCTTCGTGGTACATATAAGTTTCTTCCAAACTGGTACAGGTACATATAAAATGTGAAAGCGTGAGACTCCAGAGACAGCAACTTTCTAGGTGATCAGGCTTTGTTTTGCAAGCGGTGGCGTCTCGTATTATGGGCTACTGACTTATCAATTTCATTCTTCGAAACGAATTCAAAATCTAAATTTTCTCTGCTATTTTAAGTCAAGGAACATTGAGTGCTCTGACACGAATGTGCCATCTATTTTTCTCATTGGCTCCAATAATATACACCACATCAGCGCCATTTTTCGCCCTTCTAGCGCTCCAACTTCTTTTTTTCGCCAGATCGCGGTGAAGATCTGAGCGCAACGCATGCTGGTGGTTGATAATAAATAAGTAACTTATTATTGGCGCTAGCGCCGTTCGGAGATTCCAAAATTTAAATGCAAAAATTTTTCCATCACGGGAGATTGAGCCTTAGACCATTCTCACAACACTTTTCGCCTTCTTGGGGCCGCTCAACGGAAATGGACTGCGGTTTTGAAGTCTTCGCGTGAGTTAAAACAAGAAGCAGAAGACCGTCTTGAAAAAAAAACGCTCCACATCATGAAAGACCTTTCTTTTAGTGATCATCTTCCAGGGCGACTGCGTTATCTTGCCCGTCTGGTCTCATTAGTGGACATTATTATAATCACTGTCACTTGTACGATGGTATATTTGGAGAAAACCTATATATCTGAAGCGACCCTCGACTACCTAAGATTAATTCAGGTACGGCGTATTTTATCAATGTCGTGAACCATTACGAATGCGCGGTTGTGGAGAGGAATGAGCCGCTTTTGGCGCACAAGTCAAAAACGGGATTAAAATTCGTCATACACGAATGAGAAATAAATGCATTCATTTGAGAACTGGATGCTTAGCAGCATCTTTAATTATTGGCTTGCTCGAAAAGTTTCCGCCGATCTTGACCCTCAAATTCAAAAGCGCATATCTCGGTTCAAACAAGACATGGATCGGATATAAATTATTACGATCCCTATACCTTAGCCGAAAAGAATAGAATCGAATAAATCAGAATGTTGGGAAAGGCTGAGCAAGAGCAAGATGGGACTGCGCAACTCTGGAGAAAAAAAAGAGGCGGCGGCACTCATTTGTCGACCCCTCTGAACGATCTGTCGACACATCTGTATTTGGAAACTCTATCTCAATTACGCCCAATAAGGAAGCGGCCTGCTCAACAGTTCCATGCAGATTTGGCTTGTTCAAGGTCCTTAGTAAGTCTCCGTCTACGATATCCGAACTTCACCCTAATTTAATTCGAAGCTTTTATCATCGCGAAAGGCGCATTCTAATGATATATGAAGTGGAAGCAGTATTTCAAAGTTGATTCGGAATTGGAGAACAAGTTGCACCGCAAGCGTGCGCGCTCAAAGATGGGTGCTGCACTAGGCTGCATATAAGGATGAGGGCATCCTCCGTATTATGGAGTTGTATCACAAGCACACTTCGAGCAACACTCTGCACAACTTGACCGCTACCTGGACGGGAACAGGCAGTGAAGCACGTTTCTGATGATCGTGATGAACCACCGAAACCAATACCAAAACCGAAAATTTGTTGGTTATGGCACATGAGCGTGTCGTGAAGAGCGTACTAATACATATGCCCAAAATTAGTTTTCTTCTCTTCTTCTTTTCTCTCGGAAGAGATCACTATAACTCGTTATTTCAGATACTGCGACTTTTCCACATAGATCGACAAATGACGACATGGCATCTCATCAAGAACATGGTCATACTAAGCAAGTATGATTTTGAAGTGATTTTTAATTCCCACACAGAATCACACAAATATTGGGTTGACCCATAATTTCTGGCCGAATTTCGACACTTTCATTTATTCAAGTTTTATCTTTCCTAAAAAACAATTGATCAAAAATATAACCACCATCATAATCACTGATATGCATCCATTTGCTAGGGAACGAATGGATGCATTCCTCCCAGAATGAGTGAAGAGAGAAGCTCGAAGAGGTTGTTTTGGGTGGTTGTTTACTGACTTGTTTTTCTCACTTAGCTGCTGCTTCAGAGCTGAGGAGGTGATAGTACGATGGAGCAATGTCAGGGCTATACGATAGATGTGGTGTCGTGGTCCAGCCAGTTTCCCTCGAAACGTGGCGAGTTATCTTTGCAATGTGATTTCGGGCGGTCCTCCGGAGAAAGGAGATTTTGAGACTTTCGAACCGTTCTCCCGCACTGCTGCGGCCAACTTCGGGAATATTCCATGGTTACCTTCGCAATGCTTGTCTGCATAAAGTGAAATGGTTCTCAAAACAGGATACCCAGTGATGGAGCGTAGGCTGCGTCCAGATGTTTGCTACAGTTTCCTGCTAATAGCGTCCGGATGCACTTCCTATTCGTAGCGCAAGGGTCCTCATCGAAAGTGACTGGAGGTCCATGATGAGGTCGAACTTTGCAGCTCCTATCGTATTTGCCGATGCTATTGAGCCAATAGCTCAGTGCCCGATCAGTAGCAAAGACTGGGGCAAACGTAGCGCTGATCTTGCCTACCGCGCTCCTTGCAAGGTTCTTCTTAAAATTGTCGTAAGGCATAATCGTTGGGTTTGGTTGATCTATTTTGATTCCTACTTAATTATCCCGTTGCGCATTTGAGCTTCTGAAACATCCTGGCTGAAGGTCCTGATGTGTTCTTCAACATATCAACTTATTTGGTTATGAAGGAAGAAGATATGAAGAAAATAGAGTTTGAACCAAAAGAGTTTTTTTTTGCGAAATGGTCGTGACCCTTTCGGAAAACCCGTTACTGTTAGTTGATATGCCATTTTGCAGACCCAATAGTGCATAAGAATAGTCTTAATTATGAAAAATGGCAAACAAATCGAGAAGAACGAGTCTTGTCCATGTGAAAATTAGAAGCGCGTGCGCATTATGTTGTCGTCAGTGTGTTAACACGTTAAAGCCCGCGCTAATTTTCGGTGCTGAGGCCGCGAGCGGTTGCGACGCCTGCTCGGGCGTCGCGGCTGCAGCCCACAGGCCGGTGTCAGGCTTTGCGACCAGCGACTCGCCAGCGAATCGCGAGGTACGAGCGATGCACCAACGGTTCTAACCTGTGCCAGCGGATCGAAGGATGTACCAGCGACTGGGCAGTGTCTGAAAGTGGCGGAAGACCGTCTCGTTCGCACGCTGACCCTGCCGCAAGCCCGGGTTTTCATGCTCGCTCGCTCTCTTACGCCCACGTGAGCCTGGGTGATTGGCGAGAGTGATCGTGCGAACTGGGGCCTCCCGCCACTTTCAAACACTGCCGAACCCGATAAAACTTGCAAGTGGAGGTATCGATTGGAGGGGCAGTGTACTAGATGATAGAAATTAGATTTTTCATGTTTTTTCTGGTCCATCATTCATGTCGTCCAGCCTATTATGCACAGGCTCTAATGTGTAGAAGTATTGCAACAATAAAAACTTCAAGGCAAAGTTCGGGCTCAGACCCACCTAAGAAGCCCTTACCATGGCTAGAAGTGCTGGGTACGCAAGTGCAAAGGTAGCGCCACCTTTCTACATCGAAACGCGTCACTAGGACCCTAGGCGCCATGGACTTCTAACAGACTCCACCAAACTTAACATGGTCCGCCCACCGTTCGATATCTTGTCTGCGTCGCTGCGTTGATCTGCTATGCTCTCTCTTCTCGGACTTCTCTACCACTCTCCGCGCTCACATTATCTCTCATCCCTCCCTGTCTTTTGAACTTCTCCACAGCATGAGCAAAATGCTCGTATTTCCTGTGTATTTCAGGATTTTCTTTCCTTTTTTCTCCACTGGCGGTCCACCTCCATCCCTACTTTCACATTTGAGTGGAATCAACCCATCAATGTAATCCTGATTCTTGCCTTTAATGCCCAACAAGTATCACAAGTACTATTTTTTGTCTATTTCTAAACTATATAGTCAGCAAAATCAACAGAAGTTTCAGCCCCGTTCAAAAATTGGGTTTTTTATGAGGTGCGATCTTTTGTACACCGCAGCGTATAATTACGGACTAATAGAAAATCGTAGGTAAAGAAAATGCTGGCAAGTAAGGATACTAGAAAGCATTTTTTCAGGTTTCAGTTCGCGCGCGGCAAAAATCCCACACCTCTACTGCAGAGAATTCCATAACTGGGGGCGTTTTCACCGGAAGGATAAAAGTAGTGAAACGTGTCTCGCAGGTCACTGTATGGGCCAAATACGTTCTCGAGCAGTTGCGATTCTGGACGGCGTTCAAGTGCGCGGCGCACTTATAAAATACATTGACTAAAGCAATGTAAACTTTTTGTCTGGACCTAGGAAACCCTTTAAAACATTTACTCTTTGGATTAGTCGCTAATTCAAACCTGCATAGAAGCTGGTTTGTTCTGACGAGCTCCAAGCGCGATCTTGCTTTTACGGAGTTCGCCCCACAGTGGAGGAAGCGTTTGACGGTTGAAAAGGAGTGGCTTCTAAGAGAGCAGAAACGGTAGAACGTACTCGAATCGGTAGGAGGAAACAGGTTGTAAGCTCAAGAACAGACACTGAACACAGCACAGCTCATTCTTGAAGGCGGTGAGAACTTGGTCTGGCTCTGTAAAGAGTCGTGAAAACGTTTCCCGTTGCTTTTCGCGTGGTGCATTGTACCCAGCAATGTGATCAGAAGGAAAGTGACGTACAAGCAGACTAAAAGATCGGTGTTCAAAATTCAATGCAGTTATGCTAATATCTCATCACAATTCAATTAGCACATTTGTAGACAGAATGCAGTTGAGAAACACAGCATTCAAAAGTGTCCGTCTAATTTTCAAAATGGAAGTAGAACACATGGCGCATACCAGTCCAAGACCAATATGCACCGATTGCTCCAATTACTGTTCATCACGAGCAAAAGATGGCTTTTAGGAGCCTTCCGCTGAATCCGGACGAAACTTCGTGCACTAATTTGTACAGGGGAATTCACCCCCCCACCCCAACACTGAGAATCTACTGCGTTAGGTTTGCGAATAAATATTTCTTCACATGAGAGGCGTACAGGATGAACTCGATACTTTCCGAACCTCCTAGCTTCCCAATCCGCTTATTGTTTTGCGGAAGGCTCCTCAAGGGAGTTATGATACTAGTATGAGTAACTGTCAATATTTCTGAGAAGGTGCCTTATAGTGCTGTTTGGCGTGGCTCTGTTATCGCACATTATATAGCAAATTTGTTCAATAGAGGAGGCGATTTTCAGATGGGAACTGCTGGCTGCTTACTACATTACTTTCATTTTATGTTTACTCATGGTCAATCTCATATATATTAGCGAAAACGAAGGATTTATATTCGCTCTACCGGAAAATTCATCAGAAGTTCCAAGTGAGATTTTGTAGCAAGTAAACTTGCAACTGCTGTGGAGCGTTAACTCCACTTGAGGGCGGCACATGCCCTCAAGTTTGTCGTTGTGAAACCACCAGTGGTGGACGGTCTTACGCAGTGCAATTGTCGCTATTTCTTGGTCCGCACAGGCATCAAGCCGAATACAAGAAGTAATTTTCATTTTTGTTCAGGATCAGAAGAGTTCCTAACGCTTGCCCACGCTTGGTGGTTTACGGTTGTGACGATACCAACAATAGGGTTAGTGGTCCTTTTTTTCAAACACTGTATGTACCATACTCTTGCTCTGCCAACATGGTCGGATGACGAAGTATGCGATTGCGAAGCGATGGGAAGAGATAATGATTTCACGCGAACTGGGTCTTCTTGTAATGTACATAAAAAGAGGCTGCACATACAGTAGCGGTCAAAAGTTTGGAAACTTTTTTATTTTTGATCTAGCGCGCCGACACATAACGAAATTGTCTCAAATTTAGATATTACATACAAAATCAAGTCCAGAATACGACGGAGAAATAATTTCCAAAAATCTTTTAATCAAGATTTTTTCAAGTAACGGCGCGTCAAAAGCTTGGAAATTTCCTGTTGCCCATCACTGGCATGTCGCTCAACCCACATTCCAGTTAGGAATCCCACCAAACAATGCGATTTAGTTCACAGTGTGCAGGGTTCGACTTAAAAGTCCTATAGTCAACTCCATGTCAATAAAAACGACGCTGACATAGAAATTCACAGCTACTCATCGAATAACTAATTTATCATGTAGATTCGAGAGCTATTTTGCCGAATTCGCTTTGGAATTGAGAAGTTTCCAAACTTTTGACGCGCCATTTCTTATAAAAATTCGTATTTTTCAAAAGCGATCTCGTTTTCAAAAAATTATGTTGCTTATCGTAATCTACACTCTGTATATTATGTGAATTTGGGACAATTTCATTGTCTATTGGCTACACTAGATCAAAAATAAAAAAGTTTCCAAACTTTTGACCTCTACTGTACGTATTGTTTAAGTAGTGATTGCGCCAACAAAAAATTCACGGCTCCATGCGTTTCAGCAAAAAAGTCGGAGTTCGCGCTTCCATCATTCATTATCGATCGATGCAGCTTCGCAATCGCACGCGTTCTAGCCTTACGTGATATGAGAAGTCGTACTATGAATGTACCGATGCTACTATAGATGTGTTTATGAACATAAGTGATCACGAAACAATTACTGAATTTTCAGTTACGGAGATATTGTACCCAGAGAATGGACTTCAAGAATAATCGTGTGCTTTCTGGGCTTTCTAGCGTATTGTACGTTTGTCGCGGCTTCAACGCAAATATCTGTAGGTATGTTACTTCCTGATACTATCAATTCGGACTGAAGTAATATCCATTAAAAAAGTGAAAAGGAGTCCATGATAAGGTCAAATTAAAGAAGGGGAACCCTCCTCGTGGAAAGGCAGCAGACCCCTTATGAATGCGAGTGACACGCGAATGGCAGCGATGTGCCGCAACTATTTAGCGTGGCTGTCCCCGCGCCGCTATCGCCACTGCCCGCCCACCCCCTCGCCGTCTGGCTCCAGCCGCCTAGCACACAGAGAGCGTTAGCGTTGATGATGCCAGCAGCGATGAGACACCCCTAACGCGCGAATCAGCGGGAAAAGGAGAGCTCCATTTCAACCAATCGGATCTAGGTTGTTCTTCCTAGCTTTTTCTTCATTCCTTCATCACTGACCACCTCTACCTGGACTTCTCCTAGCTGGTCTTTTAATCGTAAACTCTGCCTCCTCAGTGAAAACCTGCTCCTCTGTGTGAGCCTTCAGAAAAAGCGCTTCCCCAAATCGTCGTGGCAAACATCACATAACGAAAAAACCGGCAGTATAAAGTCATATAGCTGTAACAGCCGGCAGCTATCTGATCGCTATTGTGATCATGGGATCGACGCTCAAGAGCAGAAGCTCATTGTTCTAGTCTAATTTGAGAGCTACATTCTAGGTTTGACTCTCATGATGGAGGAAAACAGTAAGAAACAATGCAAAAATAAACTGCGAAACACTTCAGCATCAGTGATTCAATTCTGGTGAGCATAATTAATCAATTAGCTACCAACAAAAGAGAGGAAGCAACTACTTTAAGGTATCGATTCCACCTAGCGAGTGAAAGGAGCCGACGAATGACGGAGTATTTCCGGTATATTAGCATTGAATTTGATGATTTTCATGTAGTTTTGAGCTTTCTGTCATTTTTATAGTTCCCGAGGGAACTCTGCTACTTTTCGGGTTGAGTTCATTTGTTAGGAGCGCCATTCAGAGGGTTGATGTTAGCGAAAGGCAGGGGATCTCGCCAGGTCTGCGTGTCTGAAGGACTTGAGCGACGAGGGTGGAACACATTCCTAAGTCAGGTCCGAGCTCGAGGCAGGTGATGAAAAACTGGAGTGGCGGAGGGATATTGTCTAAAAGCAGAAAAGAGGGTAAGATGTGGAGTGGGGAGGGGGTCCAAGGGAACTGGGAACATTCAGGGAATTTTGGAAGCGCTCACGGGATTATGCCTTTTTCGAAGTTTCTATTGCTCTGACTTCAGTACAGCCCTTTCCTCCTTGAGGACCGATGGGAACCCAAGAAGAAAAGACAGCAGTGAGATAGAGGGAGGACGTAATGAGAAAAAAAAATCGAAAAAAATCCGCAACGCCTCAGCTGACTCTGGGAAGACATCAAGGGCGAGCAGGACTGAAGCCACATTCAACTACGATGGCAATGATCATGGCTATAATATTATAGAATACGAATTGTCTCTGTTGAAAGAAGGAAAATAATGTCGCATTCCTTTTAGCCGTATTTGCTTCAAACTGTACGTCACAGCCAAACGGATGAATCGAAATCGTCAAATGGAGAACAAGCTGCGCGAGAAACTCGAAAGGTCTTCAATGGTTTCAAAAGATATTTTTCATATAACAATTAAAGCAATTCAAACAAACATAAAAAAAGTAAAGCAAATTGCTCTGGGGTGTACGAGCCGACATTCCGTACACACCAGAGGGCTTCAACTGGGTGTGGAGCGTTTTTTCCTATCGAAAAACTCAGCTCACAAGTGCTCACTGTACGCAGTGAGAGAAAGAGTGAGAAGAGATGTACACGCTTAGTTATGTCTTCAAACGCTGATTTCAAATCTACCTTCCAAATCTGCTAAACGATTCTCTGAAGGAGTTATGAAGCAAACAGCGCATGGTAGTGGTCGGGACTCTCAGTCAAAGCAGGTAGGATCGGCCCCTCATCAAGTTCACTGGTTTGCTTTCTTCAGAAATTTGGCTAAGCAGGCTGTTAAAGGCCATTTCAGGTGTTTGTGTTTTCATCTTAAAAGCGAGACTGAAAACACGGCAAGGGTTCAATCCTACGACGTTTGACTGTGAAATCCCGACCACTACCGTTGCGCTGTTTTGCTTCATAACTCCGTTCAGAGAATCGTTTAGCAGATTTGGAAGGTAGATTTGAGATCAGCGTTCAAAGGCACATCTAGGCGTATACATCTCTTCTTGAATGGCCATGGCGACCTGGGATCCTTTCCTAAGCCTTAGAGGTGGAAAGGAAGCCAGGGCGCGCCGCAACAGCACTCGTCGCGTGTCGGTGAGCCACACCACTCATGTCACTTCAGGAGGAAACGCCAGCACTTCGTGATGAAACACCTGTCTCCTACTTCTCCAGGGTAATCCACAAGGCCTCAAAGTGGAAGGATCCTAGGTCGAAGCGCTTATTTGCAATCAGACATGTACCGTGACATGTGTTTATGGGTGCTGATCTCCAGGTCGTGGAATCGTATCCTTCGAGAATCAGGTTCTTTAGTTGGGCATTATGGCGAAAATGCTTCACGTTATTCTCCTTGCTGCTTGCCCATAACTGCTGAATGAAGCGCTCGCGAGGAATTCTTATCATGTCTTCGCTACACTTATCAGAGATGCTTTCGCGCTAAGCAATATGCTGTTCGTGCCTATGAGGTCAAACTAGCTCTAAGCAAGGGTGCCATTAAGTCAAGGATTTAACCCAAATTCAAAAAAGTGTGACGATGCACCTATTCATCAACCTGTCGTTGAACCTCAGCATGGGTGGAATAAATTTTTGACTGGTTGTGGTAGTAGGTTGGCCCTAGAGCTGTGGAGTAATACCAATAGCTGCTTCATTTTTTCCAAGTTGTGGCATAATATTGAACTTGGCGAGATTCTGCTCCCAGAGGTAGTGCAACCTATATGACGCCAACCACACACGATTTGGACTGAAACGGCTGGGGTTCTCACTACAGTAGACAAAGTCCTCCAAATTGGTAAGTGTTGCACGCAACCCTAAACACAGGCAATTATAAGCAAATGTCGATGATCTAACGCAATGGCAATGATCTCTTGTCCATGCTGTCTAAAAAAGCAAAAGAGCAGTGGCCTCAGAAATCGATTCAAAAATCTTGAGCCTACCACTGCATACCGCTACCCACTGCTCCACCGCTTCACAAGACACTTGTTCCACACTCAATGGGAGCTAACAATAAGCACGAAAGCGAAGCACATGCAAGAAGTGCAGGGAAAAGACCTTCGACTCCATCTAGCGAATCGTTTTGCAGATCCTAAAGGACTCGATACCAGTGTCGTAAGCCCATCTCATGATGCATGTCTCGTCACAAATGACCACTTCGACTTGACATCGTTCCCTTGTCTGTACTAGATCAACTAAGTGCACAGATTTTTTTAGAAAGAAGAAACAGCGAGGTGCGGTCGCTGCGAATGAGCCTACTTGGAAACAGCAATTAGGTGTGGGCGTGGCTCAACAAATCATTCAGACATTCAGTCTTGATGTGAGTTTGCTATTGCTAGACAGCATGCTCTTGCATCAAGCTTTTGGCATAGTCTCTTTTGGTCTGGAGGCATGACTGCTCCATGATTGCTGGTTGTCGCGCCTTAGGGTAGTTCAGTCCCAAACAAATCAGGGTGCAGCAGGTTCACCAGGTTCACACGTCACATGCCGTCGATTCCACGGCATGGGTGGAAAATCCGATGCTTGTTTACATATTGTGTCACCTTTTTGTTTCTCTCAAGTCTTCAAGTAAGGATCATCGGCGACGATTCATCTGTTCCGGGATTCTCGCCGCTGTTCAGCCGAAGGGAAGGGATCATATAGGTACAGAACGCCCAAGCTTAGGGGAAGGGAAGGAACACGTGGATGCATGACTGGGTTCTCACAAAAAAACCCATTTCCATTGAGGAAGTTGTTCGATCTCCCTTCTTTTCCCGTTGCGATTCCCTTTGTTTGCACTAACCATAGCATCAGACTGCTTCTCAATTTTAGTGTGAAGAACGATTAAAATCCCATGATGGATAAGCCGCTACCCATGATGAGCCCCATCCAAAGATCTCAAGGGAGGGGGTGGGACAATTCTGAAAAGCGCAATAACCAAACATCGTATTTCCGTATTAAGGCCGTGAAATCGATGATGGGAGATAAATAGTTCTACAACATAGTTGATTTGGCAATAAACTACCACAGTAGGCACGACAACCAACCAGTACCCCCTCTTTCTCACCATATGGCTGCGCGACAGGCCTCTTGCTGACTCCTCACATTAAGGAGCCTGCCACCGCACCGATAGTGTGAGCCTTGTGTTCTTTACTGAATTGTGAAAGAAAGTGATCTCAATTCATAGTAGCAAACATTCTTGAAGCAGGTCAGGAACATTCATTTAGGTGCAACGTAATGGCAAGGTCGCTCCATTGAGAAGGATCACGGTATTTTCACGTTCACTGCGCACTCAAAAGAGTACATACAATCAAAAACTTTTCAGAGTTTACCAGAAACCCAGAATGGAAACGTCCCCAATAGTGATGTTGCTGAGGTGGGTCTTTAAAGAAACAAATATAATACAACATCGTACTTTGAACACAGCGCGAGGAAGTTCCTGGGGAGCGTAAAAATAGCCTTTTCCTCACCAGACTTTCCTAAACTCAAGCCGTATAGTTCAATCGGAATTTGAGGAGCACATTCAAGTCCATCATGCATCTTCAGAGTAGCCTTCCAGACGGGAGGAAACAGAAGAAATCGCCACGCTAATATGCTAGGTGTACGGTTCGAACTCAAGAGCTACTCCCTAAGAAATCATGGGCCATAAAGATGTTATCTAAGAACTAGGCGACGGGGTTTTGCACAATCAGAGATACTGCCTTCAGGAAACTATCCAACAGCAAATTGACTTAGAAAATTAGGTAGGACTCTAGGCTGGGGCAATTACTATAGGCCTGCTTGAGCACGACAGCGATGATGATTGGTTTCCTGTTCGAAAGAACGTGAAGACAGTGAACGAGACCTTGCTTATCGAGAAGTTTCTCAAAAATATCCTACTGGATGACTTCCATCAACAACGACACCCCGTGCGGCGAAAAATTTGCTGATGTGTGCCATAGGCAAAATGTCTTTTTTTCATCCAAATTTTGGCTAGCAAAAGATGCCATTTTTGAACCATCTCGTGTGTTCATCTTCTTGACTTCATCAAGTAGCAAATTAACTCTACTCTTCAAACGTTAAGCAGAGCACTCTCTCAAATTGTTTGTTTTGCACGGAATTGAATTTCTGAAATTATTGAAAATACGAAGCAGGTCGAAAGAAATTGTTGAAGCATTTGCAATTATCCCCAGCACGTACATAGTGATCTACGTCTTAGCTACACTCGGAAACCCTAAATTCGTCGTATTTGCATTCTATTGTACTATGAATATTTTTTCTGAAAAATCAGAACACGCTCCTCATTTAGAGATCGAGCATGTTTGAACGACGTGGTTCAACCGATACAAATCTCTCGTCATCCTTCGACATTTCCGATATCGAAACACAAATAGACATGAACAACATGTACGACGATGATCGATCTGATTGTATAGATATTTCAGGTGTGTGTATGCTTGTTGGGTGAAATGCAGTAACTCCAAGTTAGTTGAGTAAGCGCTCGAAGTGAGCCTAGGCGAGATAAAAGGGGAGTTCAAAAGAGGCACTGCTAACCAATGCGTGATAATAGAAATTCCAGAAGTGGAAGAATGGAGGCTCTACAAATACAGACCTCTTCTGCGATTCTTCAACTTCCTACTTTTTCGGCAGTATGCGAAAAAGTTTCGTCGATTACGGAAATCGGATCGATTATTGGAATTTGACGCAGAAATACGCGAACAGGAGAACGTACGACATCAGCATTTGAGGGAGGTGAATCTTACCATTCTTCACTGTTCTCCGTCCTGAAAATTACGTACTGGATGACTTCCATCTACAACGACACCCCGTGCAGCGAAAAATTTGCTGATGTGTGCCATAGGCAAAATGTCTTTTTTTTCATCCAACGTCAATGTTGCTAGCAAAAGATGCCATTTTTGAACCATCTCGTGTGTTCATCTTCTTGACTTCATCAAGTAGCAAATTAACTCTACTCTTCAAACGTTAAGCAGAGCACTCTCTCAAATTGTTTGTTTTGCACGGAATTGAATTTCTGAAATTATCGAAAATACGAAGCACGGCGAAAGAAATTGTTGAAGCATTTGCAATTATCCCCAATGCACGTACATACAGGGGTGGCCAAAAAAAAAGAGACACTTTGCCCATGGCGCACATCATCGAACTTTTCGTCGCACAGGGTGCCGATGTTAATGAAAGTTTTACGGCGAAATATTCCTAAGGTGTTCCCCCGTAAACAGAAGCAGGCCCTCCTTCACTGTCCCCGCCGTCTTTAGAATATGACGTCATCTGCCGCCACCGTCGAGCTCAACGAGGCTTACCGTAATCGCTCCGGCCTGAAGCTGCTTCATAATTTCTTCAATAGATTAACTGCTGAATAGCTTCCTAGAGACATTAGCTGTGACTATGCAAAACCACTTTTGACCAGCATTTCACGGACGTCGTAATGGTCTATGGTACCTCGTCGACCCCGTTGAGCTCATACTGTGAACCATGTTTCCGTGTGAAAATCTTCTGATGTCGTCGGTGTAGAAGGCTATCATGTAAGGTTTAGATAGACTAGAAAGTGCTCTCCAATACTGAGTTGGGGCAGTCGATTTGATTTTAGCGAAAGTGTGAATAATGCTGTCTGAAATGTTGAGTCAAGTGTCTCTCTTTTTTTTGGCCCCTGTAGTGATCTACGTCTTAGCTACACTCGGAAACCCTAAATTCGTCGTATTTGCATTCTATTGTACTATGAATATTTTTTCTGAAAAATCAGAACACGCTCCTCATTTAGAGATCGAGCATGTTTGAAAG